TTGTTACATAAATTTTGTTATTGTTATAAAGGTACACGTTTAAACGGTTTTAATAGAGTAGGTACTTGTATAATATATTTCATATAAAATCACTCACTGCATACCAAATATTTATTTTATTTAGCAAATATGAATTTTAAATACGGTTCTTTCGTTTATCATCATTGTCCATCAACACCATATTAAGACAACTAAATAATTTCCTGTGATTGTGTAAATTTATACTTAAGTTATTGAGAAAATAATTACCTAGTCTGCAGTTTAAGAGTAAATTAATTTGTTTTTATATCGGAGAAATCATTCAAGCATCCATACTAGAATATTTGTTATACCAATATTAACAATTATTACATTTAAAAATATTCATTAATTTTTTTTTTTAAATACTTGTATTTTGAGTCCCAATTTAATACATTGCTCTTACTTTTTGATATTTCTTTAGAGTTTTATTCTTTTTTATTGATTTTTGTGACTTATTGTTTTTATCATTTGATTGATGTCCATAGCTTTAGGAAACGGTTCGCTATCGGTGATTTATCTGTTCCTCGTTTTTTTATACTCCCATCCTGTGTTTTTTAAACGTAATATCTATGCTTCTCCCGAAGTCCGATCTATATATAAAGCCTATCACAGTGTATTGCACTGTCCATGTGTCTGATGTACGTGTCTGCGTTTATTAATTATTCATGTTTCGTAATAATTATGAACCGTAATCCGTAATTATGGCCCCGTCTTATAATGATTATTAAACAGACGAAGCGTATGCTTGTACTTCGCATTTTTTGAAAACGATCGAAACCGTATTACATAATAATATGATATATAGCTGGTACCCCGTCGACGTCTTCAGTATTTAGCTGATGTGTATTCGTTTATCCGAAACGAACAAGGAATCCTACGCGATTGCGCACAATGCATGTCCTGCGTCGCAGGATAATGTATATACCCATATATATATAGATTATAGGTAGTAGACGCCATCGTTGTGTACACATTATAATAACATGACAATATAATATTATTATAAACCTACCTAGAAAATCGTTTAAACGAATAAAACGGATTTCCTTTAAACTCGTTATGTATACATATAGTGTACGAGTTCGGTCGAGAGATCGGCGGAAGGCGGGACGCATTACAGTTACGCAAAGATATTATTAACGCTCAAATATCGTACACATGTATGCGTGTATACACCGAGCTCGTCGTAATCGCAGACCCGGGCACAACTATCAGATAAAGCACGTTTCACTGCACCGGAGTGAAGTTTATCTCGTTTGACGTGTTTTTAAACAAGTCGATTTAAAGTTTGCGGCAACGGCCGCGCGGCGCGAATACCGCCGGCGAGTCAATAAAACGTATCGTCGTTATTATTATTATTATTATTATTATTATTATTATTATTATTATTATTATCATTATATTGTGTACGAACTATGTCAAACGAAAATTATAAAAACCCAGACACACTCTGTTCCCGCCGCGGATGGCGGGTACTTGCCGCAGAGTAGGTCACAGTTTTCTGCGGGCCACTTGGTCAGGTTTATTGGAGGCATGCGATATAATAATATAATAGCGGGTATTATGTTTATAACACGGGTTTTCTTTCATTCCGATAGTGATGAATCGTCACATTTTAAAGCGATTCTGAGTGGCATTTTGTAAAAAAAATATATACATTTTATGTAAGTAAGTACATAAAATGTAATTTTTGGTTTGTTTTTAAAACTCGGAGACAGTAAGCATATTCTCCAATAAAAAGTTCAAGTTCTGCACTCGAAAAATTTGCATTTTCATACAAAAAATACACTAAATTATACAATGTACCTATATACCTATATACCGAGCTATACAAAATATAATATCATAATGTACCTACTCCGTTTAATGATCACTGTACGTTTTCTCAGTGGATTTTGATTTTGGACTGGTTTTAAACAGTATTGCAGTATTGTGGGCTTTTTAGCCTTTCAATAAAAGTGGACATCGAGTTTCCTTCTTATTGCCACGTACCTACAAGGAATCGGAATATTAGATCTAATGTTTGTTGAAGTGCAAAGGTTAGTCAAGACAGAGAAAAGTTAATAAGGTCAGTTGAAAGACAATTAAACTATAGCCAGGAGAATGAATACTGAAGAACAGAAGTGGAAATTTGAGATAGTGTTATTGTAGTATTCCGTTTTTGAAAATGCAAAAAATGTAATTTAATAAATTTATACGGTATTTTCACGAGTATTTGAGACATTTCTTTCATTACTTAGACATTTTCGAATTCAAAAGGTTTGTTCAACCACCAAAACGTTTCTTTTATATTTTACAACTGCTTTTTAACTTGTGTATGAATAATAATACAACTCTGAAATATCGATTTGCCATACTTTTAAGCCAATAAATTGGATTAGGAGTATTTTTAGGACGGAAGTACTTATCTAATTTATCTATCTTATTATATTTTTAACGGGGTTTTGACTGTTAAAGGCTGAGTTAGAGACATTTAAAAAATAGCTGTCACTCAATTTATTTTGGGAAGTTCGTTAAACCACTAAAATGCTTTGAAAATAAAGAGAAAGTGAGTGAGCATACTTGGTGAATAACCTTGTATATAATTTATCATATAATATATTCAGGTACCTAAAACAATTTTAGTCTTAGATAGTTTATTAAAATTGTCACTCTTTTATCCTCAAATAATGTTTATTGAATTATAATTTAGGTGGTACGTTTTTGATGGTTTGCACTGTCGTAGTTATTTAAAACATCATATCTGAAAATTATATATTCTACATGATCAGAAATACATTTGAGATTCAATAAGCATTTTATCAATTTTTTAAATATAATCAAATTTTAAACTGTTCATAATTCATACCTAATTGTTTATACTACATCGTATAACTAGATATGAAGTAGATACATCTCCCATAATTTTTAAAATATTACTGTAAATCTTTTTCAATAATAATTCAAACTAAAATTAATTTTACGCCTCATGATTATTATATAACTATAGTCTATTATATTATTGTAACTTTACTGATAACAGACTATACCTAACATACTAGGCCTCCCGGTCAAAATGACAAATAAACGAAAAACAAAAATATAACACTAATATGTTATAAATAATACGATATTATAAAACGTATTTAATAAAATAAGAAGTGAAAATAAATTTATTTAGCAAACCCTGATACAAGTTTGAATTCAAAAATTTGGTTTATATAATAATAGTTAAATTTACTAGAAAGTTTCCATACCGTTGAGTTTAATTTCGATAAGGTCGAGATTGCAATCATTTCGTTAAAGTTATGTAACTGAAATCATCTATACGTAAACCAGGTGATTCTTTTATCGTTTAACGGTAATTTTCTTCGTAAATTTATGCATTTTTTAAATCACTTTTTCAACATGATTTGAAGGCATTACACAATAACTCAAGAAAATAAATAGTAAAAAATATATTCATAAATTTAAAAACGTTGAGTATTTATCAACCAAAAATTGTCTTATAAATACAACGTCATAATATATGGGAGGAAATAAATCATCCCTTTTAGTTGTGTGATGAAAATCGATAATTTATAAATCAAGTAGTGAACTTGTGGCCGGTATAATAATAGCTCTTGTTAATTTATAATTAAGGTACAGGTACTTATACTTCAGCAGGTTTAGCTGAACATCGAATTGCAAATTCAAAGGACAGATTGACATCAATTGAAATCCCGGGAAATCGCTTACGTTATCATCGTTTAAATGTTTCGCTGATCCGTTTTATGCAATTATCTGCACTACCAATACCCAAACGGCTGCTGAATCTATACATAGACTGTAGTCATACTATGAATTATGATTAGACATTAGTCAGAGTATGAGCAAATTATAAGTGAACAGCTATATGAATTATACCAATGGTACATCATTTCCATGCAATACACAAAACCATAAATCTAAATTTTTTATTTACTTATAAGATGAAAACGAAATAATTATAAGCATTATCATTAATTAGATATAATAAATAATTATTATCATTCAGCATTTTTGGTATCACGTCGTAATCGACGTATGTACTCCATTTGTCCGCATTTCATTTGATAACCCTGTTACTTTTGTGATATTACTATATTTTTTTTTCTTTTAAATCCGAAGAAATGTATTGATTTTCTATTGATGTGTTTTTTTTTTTCTGAACCACTCTGACTGTAGAAAAATGATTCGATTTACCACTTCACCGATATTTGTGGTGAGAAAGTGAATTTATAATTACTTTGGGGGAGTCGAAAGTAAATAATTTACAGCATTGTTCTTAATAACTGAGAACATTTAAAAATATAAATGATATACATGCACGATTTTTTTAATAAATATTTTGAAGCATATTAATTTTATTCTATTGCCACGCAATTATTCTTGTACACCTCGAACAACGAACCTATTCAAACTGTTTTACGATAAGTAGGTACTCACTCAAAAGTTAATAGGAATAGGTTTAATACTATGATACGATACATAATATATAATAAATAAAATAAATGCGATGTTTTTGGTAAAAATTAATTCAACGTACAGTTATCACAATTACTAATAGTAAAATAAATTTCCGTAACAGCAGTATGAATATAATATAAAATAAACTTGGCAATGTAGGCTGATAGGTTAACTTTGGGCAAAATCGTTTTTCGTTTGCAATGATTTATTATTGAATTCAAATTTTACATAATGCATAATATAACAGTGGCTCACTCAGCGACGAGGTCCACTCGACGCCTACTGTAGTATGGCTGAACCGATTTCCCCTTTTTCTGAAACCTAACAGTAAGGACAGAGCGTCCATTGTGAGAAAACATTTTGATTCTCGTACCGGTTACCGAACATCACGTACTTATACACGATAAAAATCGGTATAATTAAAAACAAATTCAGCTCAAGATCGCATAGACTTAGTGGAATGAGCATACAGATAGCAAAATAATAACGAAAGTTTTTCATAAGGTACATACCAATCACCGGCTCCGGAAACACTGACGGGCGTCTCTATTTTTTGCGACGGATAGTGTACCAGCGAAACCGTGTCATCGGATTGTCTCGAAGCCAACTGTCAAGAAACAAATAAAACATGGTTTAGATATTTTTACCACGAATTATTTTTCGGTTTATTTTTCAATATTATTTTTAATCCAGCGGCCTTTTGGACTGTACATTTTTCGAGTTCATAAATACATATTACATAATATAATAATACATTTTACATAATATACATTATTGTACATACCAACAGCCCTTTGTCGCCAAGCGTTACCATAATGACGGGAATGTGAGATATTAGCTTACAAACGATGTCTTTTGAACTATTCATTATGCGATCTCGTGTGTCGAATTCGCCGCCGCCGTTAATGGAAACTTTAATAGCGTAATTTGCACTCACTTCAGCTGTAATGAAAAAACAGAATGAAATTCCCTTTGGTGTGTCTCACAAAGCGCTCAAAATTTGGTATTCGATGATATAGAGGGGTTGTCCATCGATTACTGTTAAACGTACACACAACGCCCAGGCATCAAGCACGCTGGTCTGATAATGCTTGAAGGGATAAAGAGCAACTTATTTCCAAATCCTCGAGAGCACAATGCTCGCAAAAGTACACAACTGCCAGTGTATTGTAACTTTGCGATTGTTATAACGATTACCGCCGATTGGCGCAAGGGAAAGACCATCAGATTTATGAAATTTATAACTTTTTATTGTACCGAATGGGTTCACATAAAGCCACTCTGTTCGGCGACATAATAATTTACACAACAACGGCGCACTATAGTCTAAATTTCATTATTTTTTTTTTTTTTTTTTGCAATGCCAATTACGATCTATTCGCTAATGATTACTGGATTTCAACATTGTCAAATTCACAATTAATTGACGTTTGAAATGACTCGGCGCAGTTATATGTCAATATATTGTGGATCTGATAACAATTTCGCAACAAAACTTTTCCCTCTGGAAATTGGCAACAACTCCGCGGTTTAAATGCTTTTACAAAATAATGTTTAACCTATATAATTATACACATCCAAAGTTTTATTCTTAGCGAATAGCCCTCGGTGGTTTTGAAAGTCTTCTCGTGCAGACTGCAGATTCTAGAAATCTCTGCTCCTGCTGCAATAAGGACTCCACTCCAGATAAATACCAACACAATACCGGGATAACGACTGAAAATCGGTGAAAAATGAACACAATATACAATTAAACACAACAAAAATGACAACTATATGTGTCTCTGTCGGAAATCTTTTGTGATACATAATGGTTCTGGAAGTTAATTTAAGTAACGAAAAATGTTTTATGGATTATGTTTCAAGATCATCCAAGAAAAAGAACGAACGACTTAGAAATTCCGACATTGTTTAATGTACCTCCGAAACCGCATGTACATTTTACATTATATAATGCTTATGTATAAAACAATAATTTCCCGATTTAATCATATACAGTAGCATATACATTCTATAAGCATTAAATAAATAAATGTGTATTATCTTTGAGTATAAATATGATAGGTACTTGAATATAATATCCGACTTATGAATACTCGATTTCACCGAGTCAACGAATATATTAATTTAGATAAGTTTTTAAATAGATACGAAATAGGAAACAAAAAATATTGTAGAGCGTACGACGCAACAGTAAACTATGCAAAAACTAGTTTTGGTCAAAGATTCCTAGACTAGGTCCGGTAGGTTTAATTCTATGGATTTGGAAACTAAGAGAAATGCATGCGTTTTTTTCATATAACCCTGCAAAAAATGTGACAATGCGTGGCTAATATTCAATTTAGAATAATAATATCATAATTTTAGTAATATAGTCACCTGCAACATTTGTCTTTTAAAAAAAAAATTTTAGTTGTTTAATTCCAATGATGTTTGTAATTGTTACCTTGGTCCTCTTCTAGTTGTAGTAATGTTATGCATTAATTAGCTCTATATGCAACTTTATCATTTACTTTTATCTTTATTTTTTCCTAACACAACTCTCTATATCTCCATCAAAAGCTAGCTTAAAGGCGATAGATAAATCGCTGAAAGTGTATTTGAAGTAACCATTATGTAAACAATTTTTCTGTATTAAAAAAAATATATATATAAGTCGAAAAGAACTATTATTGTTATCAACGAATTTGTATGATTCAAAAATTCAAAATTAATGAAGAAATAGCTTAAAGGAAATTTTATGAGAATGTATTGATTGGACAAACGAGAATTAGTTTGTCGATTAAGACAAATTGGAATGCGCCTAGTTAAAAAAAAAACAGCTCCACTCTTTTGTCTTGCAATACCAGCACGGCGGCCAAAAGTGCGTCTTATTATCTATTAGCGATACGAACTGAGATTAGTGCAATGTAAAGGAACTATTTGCGTGTTTCGTCATTCCAGTAAAAAAAAAAACACAAACACCATTGGTATATCTAATAAATTTACTTACGGTTAGGGACTTAAGTACCAATGGCGAAATTATTTATACCTCGATAACGCGCATAGGGTGCATAAGCGAATAAATCTTGATCGGCAGCTCCGTACAAGTGTATGTCTTCTGGTAGGCGAGATGTCGAGCGAAAAACATATTTTTACATTCCTAAGACGATCATTCAAACGAAACGTAATTTAATAAATATATGACATGTGCAATCAACGTGACAAAACACATCTCTGACACAATACTTAATACGCATCCATCAATAATAATAAACTGTACTTTATGACTTGCACCGATGGTCTTATATCAATATGAGATGTAGGCAATAACAGCGGGTAGGTATTCAATCGGTAGACGTAGAACTACGTTTTTCGGGTTGGTTATAGAATATGGCGAGATGGTTCGGAAAATCGATAATGTTGTAACGGGTATACCTCGTTTGTGCACAAACATAATATCACATGTTTTCTTTCCAGCTCGAATGTTTCGACCCCCAAGTATCTATATATATATATATTATGCAAACAAACAAGAAAAAAATTGATTTACCCAACCATTTGTAACATTATTCGTTTGGAGCGCCCGTGGGTGAAGACCATACTTTATAATGGGTGCTCATTAGTCAATACCGAAACGTATTTTTCGTACAAGTTATCGCATATAACAATAACTGGGTAATAAAATATGATGAACAATTATTTTAGTCCAACCAAATGATAAAACATTTAAACTCAGAGGTAGGTATATAGGTACGCAGGTACATACTATAACTTACTGACATGCGAAATTAACTACTATTTAACGCACTATTGTACAACATAATATTATTACCGTCGTTTCTCGAGATAAAAATCCTAAGAAGTATGTATTGTACAATAGTGTTGTAATGTAGATAAACCATCGCGATTATAAATCCTGACTACCAATATATAGAGCACAACGAATAATTATTGACCGATGTATGTAGAATTAAAATATAAGCTAAATTTTTTCACTGTTAAACTATTGGCAATAATTTAGAACTGTGTGAAAAATAGCGAGAAAAAAAAACCACTTTATTTCAAAAGATTTTGGTTCTTTTGACTGCCAACAGATTCTATAATAATTAGACAATTTTAAAAGTTCAAATGTTCAACACGGCGTGATATAACGAATTGGAAATGACAGACACAAACCCTGATACGACTCAGACGCTTCACTGACGGTGATGTTTCAACCGCTTATCTTTATTGCTCGATCCGAGACCCGAAAGTACAAAATTACATTGACGAAATTGTGATTTTTCTATTTAGGTACACGCTGTAACGGTAACACGAGTACGTTTTTTGCATATTAATTATATTTTCGCATTATGATTATTGTTATTGTTATTACTGTATATAGGTATCTCTGAGAAGAATTTCCTGCTTTTTGCAATTATTATTGTTTCCTCCGATGTTAAACCATTCAGGGTTTTTATTTTCGCTGTTTATTTTTCACTAGTGTAACACCCCCAGCACCACATTTTAAGTGTTTAGGGGAATAACGATAAATTAATAAACGATTTTCTGCAATATTTTTATTCATGATCAGTTAAAAATGTAAAAGATTCATATATTTTAATATTATACAGGAATTGTGAACGCTTTAAGGTCTAAAATATGTAATCAAACGCTATAATCTTCTCTTATATCCATATTCGAACATAAATTATAGCTCCATATACAGTGTTACTTAGGTATGTGTATATAATAGAGAAGGTGAGGTCCAGGTACGGATTATTTCGGTATAATATCTAGAGCATAATATTTCAACGATCATTAATGACTAATCGAATGATATAATCGAAAAATGCGTTAACCTTTGAACGTTGTACAATTTTACTAAAAATAAAAAATATCAAACAAAAACGCAAAAATAATGTGTTTATATCATAATTATTATTATTAAGATACTGAAGAACAATAGTGCAAATCGTCTGATTTTAGTTGCGTTATAGAAAGTAAAGTAATTAAGTAAGTTACTAAAAACTCCGAGACTGCTCAGCAATGAGTCATGTATTAGTCTGAGACACTGAGACGATTTAAATGTAAATTATTATATTATGGTCATTGATAGTTCATTTTATATATTATGAACCTCTTTCCCTGTTAAAGGTGATACCTAGTTTTAAAATTGTTTCAATTTAAATATCAGCGATTACATTTGTATCTTATGAAAAATAAAACAACTGATAAAAATTGATTTGCTCGAGTTGATGGTAGACTACTTTACTGTTTAGAAATTAAATTAAATTAAATTCGACAACATTCAGTCAGCACGAAAGAATAGTATATATAATTCATTAATTATTATTATCTAAATAATACTCTAGTGTTTTTCAATTTTTGACTAGTGAAAAAGTATTGATTTGACAATGATGCGTGTTATTCTTACTGTAAACTCGTTTTTGAGCAACAAAAGTAGGTACTCTCAAACGGCCATACTGCCTATTACTTTATTATTTATGTAATTATACTTATTCCAAGCTGATTTTGATAATATTGAATACATATTTTTTTCTTGAATATTCATATTTTTATTTATGAACTTTAATATTTTAATGTTTAACAGATCTAACAAATAACTACGATAAAACGTACAACATAAATAACATCTCATAAACTGTTTGGGTAATGTTTTAACAATTAGTGCTTACAATCAACTGTTTAAAAAAAAAACAATTTGTTAGGTACTTTTAAGAAATAATAAAATAAATTAAGATTAAACTCTGCATTATTATATTTCTGTGTTTAAATAAGCAGAGAAATATAACTATTATAAAATCATTTTATAGACGTTTTGTGAGGGGTAGAATCAACTTTTATAATTTAAAAATAAACGGTTTTTCGTTGTTATTATATATTTTTTTTTCAAACCAAAAATAAAAACTTGAAGCTTCGAATGAAGTTTGAATTTGATGAAGGATATAAAATTTAAA